CAAATGTAATATTATCCAGTTTTCATTCTATTAATTTACCCATGCTTTATTTAAGTAGTTAATAACACAAATTTATAGTATTTTGCATTTTTTCTGTTTTTAAAACGTTTGTTTTGGACCAAGTGCAATTAAACTCCAGTTCAATTATTAGCAAAATTGTTTGACACTTGGGATTTTTTGTTCTATTGGCCAAGAGTGCCAGAACTACTACTCTCTTCTCGTTACCCACGTCACACAACCACAAACCCGTTTATAGGGCGGGTCACAATCACACACAAAGGAGAAAGGATCATCCATGCCCTGAGCGGGATTCGAACCCGCAACAATCGGCTCCGTAGTCAGGGACGCTAACCACTCGGCCACCTGGTCGGTAAAGAAATGTATGTAACTTTTAAAATTAATATGTTATTTTTGAGTTGTATTTTTTTGATCAGTTTAATAAAAATTCCCTCTAATTGAATAGTACTATTTTTGGTAGACGGAAAAAAAGGTCCCGGTAAAAACGGTCCCTGGAAAAAAAGGTACGGAAAAAAGGGTCCCTGGAAAAAAAAGGTCCCGGGAAAAAAGGTCCCGGTAAAAAAGGTACCTCCATAGGGAAAATCTGTAGGGATATTTCTCCTTTCGCTCTCTGGGCAGCATGAATGCTTCTCGCTGTTTCAATGAATATTCTTTTTATCTAGAATAATTCAGATTAAATCATTGAGGTAAGGAGAAGGGTAAGGGTTGCATTACGCTTTTTTTTTAAATTTTATTTCATTTATTTATTCTTCTTTGATTATTTTTTAAAGCGGGAAGATACTATTTAAATTTTTCAATAATGTTTTACGTTTTTTTTTGTAATTTTTTTAAGTGAAGAATGTGTTATTTTCTATTTTTAATTATATTTTGTGAAGAAGTTGCTAATGTGAGGCTTAAAGTAGCCAATCGGGGAAGTTGGGATGATTTATGTGTTGGATGTTTATTCGTGATTGGAGGTGAAAGTATTGGTCTTTTTTAATTAGTTAAAAACGCACGACACGAGAAAAAAAAAACATGCAGGGAACAGCAAAAAGCGCTTCAATCTAATCTTCTCATTTCAAATATTTTCCCCTACAGAATTTTCCCTACACAGGTACCTTTTTACCGGGACCTTTTTTTCCGTACCTTTTTTTCCAGGTACCTTTTTTTCCGGGACCTTTTTTCCGTACCTTTTTTTCCGGTACCTTTTTTTCCTAGAACCCTATTTTTAAACTCCATATAAATAAAATGCCCTAAAATAAAAAACATTTTAACATTTGAAAACAGGCAGACTTAAAAGTTCAAAAAGTTATTGTCAAAATTTTCTGAAAAGATCTTGTAGAAAAATATTAATGCGTAACTAGTGAACTTTTTTGAAGTTTTCTACTTTTTTTAATTTTGTGTCAGAATAGTTTTTCTCTCCCCCCCACCCCAAGGTAACTCAGTGAACTGGACCTGAAAATTAAATTTTCTGTTAGTAACCAGTGGCGGTTGAATCGATTATTGTGGGTTAATGTTAAGGGAAGATATAGGGCTATGTTGTTATACAGAATATTGATTTCGAATTTCCGCATTTTAACGCTATTCAACACACTATTATATATATACATGTATAGTAACATATAGGGCCACATTGTGGGGCCCTAATAAGTCTATAATTATTTCCTCTGGTAGGGTACACTAGTACTCGGTAATATAATACTTGGTTCAGTTTGAATATTATGGGTCAATGTTAAGGGGAGATATAGGGCTATGTTGTAATACAGAATATTATAATATGCGAATTTTCATACAAAATGTACCATATCTGAAACAGGATTGCTACACAGTTTCGTTGTCAGTTGAGCATTCAACGATAATTGCTAAAAATATCAAAAGTCAAATTATTTTTAGTAATTAGAGTTTTTGGTTATTTCAAGTTATTTAAGTTATTTCAAGTAGTATTTGGTAATGCTTGTAATTTGTACCGCTTTTTTCTGTATCCTACAGTACTGATAAAACAATAGTAGTTAAAAAATTTATAAATACACGTGCGGCAGAAAAAAATTCCTATCTTTTAAATTTTTTTCTTCGTTATCTGTAATTTGTTCCAGTGTGATGCTGATTTTTCATATTTTGATTTTATTAAATAGACCTGAATGTGACTAATTGTTAGAAGATTATTCACTTTTTGCCTTATTTTCATTGTTATCAAATTGATTATTATTATATATTCGAAAAATAAAACGTTTACTTCTCGAATTTATATCTATCTTAACAAAGAATGTTTTATTATCACTATTTAATCTAGAGTAATCTATTTGTTTTTTTTTTCCTTCTTATTATCTGTTACTATCTGCCGTTTGTGAAACTGTATTATATTTATGAAAGTCGTGTTTGTTTGATGCTTATGTAGAAATAATATGAGTTTTTAGTTTTACATTGAATAGAATTTCGCGACTTTTTGACCATTCACAGACAATTAAATTAATTTACAAATGACATTTTCTAGCATCTTATGAAACTACACGGGCAAAGAAAACTCCTAAGTATCCGTTTCTGACCCAATTTTCTACTGAAAGAATTCTTACTGCGAGCCAAGCACCGTTATCGCCAAGGCTAATAAGGGCTCTTCATTTTTTTTAAATTGAAAATATTATTTTTTCCACTCCCCATCTTCTTTTTTTTCTTTCTTTTTTTTGAAGACTGACTGCAACTTGTCATATTAAGACTTAAATTTCCAATATTTTGAAACTCAATTATATTTTTAATTATTAATACTTTCGGTATACGCATTCACACCAATGACGATAAAGTCATGCCCCATTTAACTTCATTTTACGGTACAGCAAAAATGAAGCTTATTTACATTGTGAAAATTACTTTTAAACATCCTTAAAATAACAATTAGTAAAACGTCTCAATTATATCTTTACTGATTAATAATTTTGGAACATGTATTTACCCCAATGAGAAGGTTATGACATTCTTTAACTTCATTTTGCATTACAGCTGTAATAACGTTTGCTTACATTGTAAAATCTGCGTTCAAATTACCTAAAAATAAATATTGCGACATGTATTTTTATCCGTAAAATATTGACTCTTACATTACGAGTTCTGGCGATATCATGCTATGCATTAAAAAATTAAAAGCATTTCTAACATTCAGTTTCTTTGTTTGGTCACATCATCAACACTTGATTTTTTCTGCCAATAGTAATTGAAAAATTAGCTTTATTATTCCTAATATTTTTATTGCTTTTTCCTAGTGTCTTAAAAAATAATTAAAAAAGAAGTATTTGAAACTGTTTTAATATTTAATTCCTAAATATGCAGAATCAGAGGATTTCAAAAGCATTAATATCATAGCTGCCAATCACAAAATAAAACTCGTATCATGTGATTACTAAGTCTTTAATAAATATACCTTTAATAAGTGATTTTGTTTATTAAATCGAGAATGAATAGTTAAAAAGTGCAATAGCCTGTTCTATTAATTTTAAAATAAAATCTACCAAAGTTAAAATAGTGAGGATATATGTGAAATTATAGGTGAGAGGGACAAAATAATGGAAACTAATGCATTTCTTTTTCATATTTCATGAGTTATTTCTGGGGAAATACTTGGAAAAATAAAAATGTTCATAATTTTTTAGTGAATCGTATTTGGCAACTAACGAGAAAAGTCCCACTGGAATATCTTAAAAATTTAAAAAAATTCAACCAATTTTCTCAGTAGTTTTTGAACTTTTTAAAATAAGCTCAAAATGATAAGGGGTTTTCTACAAATATTATTTTGCATTATAAGACAAAATTAAATAACAAATGATAACACCTTACAATAAGCGTTCATGTATGATTGTATAAGGAAAGAAAACATGCGAAAGAAAAAAATTCTTTTTTGGGGAATGATTTCCAACAATTGTTATTTTTAATAAATCTTGTTTAATAGTAGAAAATGAAATTTGTGGAAAACCCCTTTTCATTTTGAGCTTCCTTTTAGAAAGTACGAAAACTACTTAAAAAATTGTCTGTTTTTAAAATTTTTAAGATATTAAAATATAAATTTTTTAATTAGTTGCCACATACGATTAACTAGAAAATTACGATTAACTAGAAATTACTTTAGTTATCTTGCGCAGTTTTAAACAAACTTTTCTCAAATTTTAAAGCAATAATTTTGTAATTACTTTTAAATTGCTCAGAGAATTTTGCTTAATTCCATTAAATATTTATGAAGTTATAGCAGAAAAACGTAAGGTAAAAAAAATAATTTTTTTTATTAAAATGTCAACGTTTTCATAAATATTTAAGTTAGGTTAAAATTTTGTGCAATTATCGAATTCATTCGAAGCAGTTAACCAAAATAATTTTAAAAAGTTATACATTTATTGCTACACTTTTTGGCATAGGGTGTTCAAAATCACTTTTTTCTGTTTGTAATTTTAATTCAGTTCCTTACACCTCTAAAAGCTCCAAACTTTATTGATAAGTATGGGAAATTGCATAACTTAAACACTTTTAAATTTATAAAATGATGCAAGTATATTTTGAGAAAGATCGAAAAATGTGTTAGCATAGAAGTGTTTCCATTATTTTGTCCAACCCATGTATAATCTGGTAGTCAGAAAAAGCTCGGTTGTTAAATATGAATCAATTGTACCGAATGAATGACGTTATCTATGCACATCTTTCACTTCCATGGTATTAGTTTCCTAATGGGTAATGTTCACGAGTTTTCGGAGTCTTCCCAAGAAAACAATACTACGCAGAAACATCTTATTATCTACATTAAAATCTTATTTTTTTTTGCATCCTTTGAATAATTTGAAAATGCAGTTTAGGAATACATTGCCCCATGCCCTTGTTTTACATTCAATTTCTTGGTAACGCGGTAATTTTAAGACAATAAACATGGCATATTTTCAAAGTTTAGTAAATTATTTGAATATATTGTTACGATACTCAAAAATATATCATGCAAATTAATACAGAAATTATTTACTCTTTTTTTTTTCCAGTATCAACTTTTAGTCTTGCGTATGACATCGTTTCCACTTCTTCTTTTTGTACTTGCTTTCGATCTAATAAGAATTCTATGGAAAAAGTTCAGTCTTGAAAAGATACCCAAGAAATCTATACCAACTCCAAAATGTTCAAGTGTGTTACTTTTCTACGTTGTATTAGCAAGTGGAATCAGAAGACTTCATTATGGTTACAATTATCTCTTATGCCGTAAGTATAATTTTAGTTTTTGCTTCTTAAAAATATTAATTTTACGTTGCTTTTAAATTATAAGCTTCCCTTATACATAGGATTGAGGCGATATGGGTTGGTTGGTTGATTAAAGTTTATTGGCACAAAAGCCAGACATGGCTATACTGCGCCAGTCACTAGGTTAAAAAAATACTTTATTTTTAAAGCAGAGAGTATAGTCCTATTTTTTTTAACAAACGTAATAAGGTTGTGATGTATAGGGTCACCGATTAAGGATTTAAGATCAGGGTAAGAGCTGCCAAAGAGTTTGTTCCTCAAATGCTCGAATCGTTTGCAGTTGGTTAAAGCATGCTTAATTGTTATGTCAACTTGACATAGAGAATAACAAGGTGCAGGATCAGCAGTCAGTAAATGTTTATGGGTGAAACGGGAATGTCCAATACGCAGTCTATTAATTATAACTTTGGTTTTGCGATCAACGGATATTAAATTGTGGTTTTCTATAGAGGGAAAAATTTCATGCATTTTGTTGTCTTTTTGTTTGATCCAGTGTTCTTTCCAAGCCAGCTGTATTGCAAATTTACATATTCGTTTCAGATCCAAAGGTGTTAAGAGGTTCCTGCATACATTTTGAGTGGTTTTAGCCGCGGTATCAGCGCGGTCATTCCCGTGTATGCCAACATGGGATGGTATCCAGCAAAAGTGAATACTGTAATTTTTACCACATAATTTTGTGAAGCAACTTTTAATTTTCTGTAATACGGGGCTTTTTCCAATGTGGGAAAAGCTTGAGATGAAACTATAAGAGTCTGTATAAATAATCCACTTGCGGTAAGTTTGGTTTGAAATAAAATTAAGTGATAACAAAATAGCATAACATTCCGCAGTGAAAACTGATGAGTCATGATATAACTGTTCAGATATAGTCAAATTTTCTATGACTACACCGCAACCAACATGATTATCGTGCTTAGATCCATCTGTAAAAATCGGTTTAAAATCAATATAATCATTACGATGTTCATAAAATTTTTGAATAAAAACCCTTGAGCTCGCGTCATTTTTTTGAAAAATTAATAAAAACATCTAAAATGCAAACTGAAAGATCAACCCAGGGTGGAATTGTCTCTGTATCAGTAAAAACATTGAAATTTAAAATGTTAAGGTCATTTAAAATGCGGATGATTCTAATTCCAAATGAAGGAATGTAAGAGGGCCGTGAAGAGAAGTGAGTGATGTACTGTGGGTCAGTAATACTTGAATACAGTGGGTGATTTGGACACGATTTAATTTTAAAATAATAATCCAATGAAAGTTTAAGACTACGAAAATGAAGAGATGGCTCAGAACACAACGCATACAGACTTTCAACTGGCGAGGTTCTAAATGCACCTGATAGATTCTAAGACCTTGATGATGGATGGTATCGAGGTATTTTAAAACAGATTGATGAGCTGATGAATATACAGGAATGCCATAGTCTAGTTTCGAGCGTATAACTGCACGATAAATTTTAATCATTGAGTCCATATCAGCACCCCAAGGACAATTTGTGAGGACTTTTAGAATATTTAGTGATTGAGAGCATTTTTTCCTGATGTAATTAATATGTGGCTTGAAGGTTAATTTAGAATCAAAAATCAGTCCCAGGTATTTGTTTCTTCGAAAACCGGAATGACGATGTTATTTAGAGTGATTTCAGGACGGGGATAAAGACCGCGTTTGCGGCAGAAATGCACACAATGAGTTTTCTGAGATGAGAAAGTAAAACCATTTTCATTTGCCCATTTTAAAATTTTATTTACAGCCAGTTGCAATTCTCGTTCAATGAGTGACATATTTGTTGATCGGCATGAAATGCGGAAGTCATCCACAAATAACTCGCCATAAACTGAAGCAGGAAGTTGATTTAAAATGCCGTTTATTTTCAAAATGAAAAGCATCACACTTAAAACACTTTCCTGGGGAACACCCTGTTCCTGAGGGTAAATGTCAGATAAAATTGAATTTTTTTTTACTCTAAAAGTTCTGTTAAAGTTTGTTACTGTAAAAGTTTTCAATAAAAGGAAATATATTTCCACCAATACCGCAATTGATAAGATCCCGAAGTATTCCGTAGCGCCAAGTTCTGTCGTAGGCCTTCTCCATGTCAAAGAAAACTGAAACTAAATGTTGATTTTTTAAAAAGGCATGGTGAATATCAGTTTCTAATTTAATTAAGGTATCCGAACACGTTCGGAGGATTTTTTAAAAAATATTAAGTTTCAGAGCACTTTAATTATGTTTTTATATTTATTATATGTAAAAACTAATATTAAATAAGAGAAATTAGACATTTATATTATATTTTGTTTTTAAAAGCTAAATAACAAGAAAAAAATGATGTTTTTTTCATAAAACTTGCGAAAGGATATACTTCACCAAAATTATTGTATCAAAAAAGTGTTATCAAAATAAAGAGCTGAATTTTGTCTAGTGATTTGACTACAATCATAAAAATATTTGGAAAATTAAATTTTTTATAGAGAATTGAAAACTTTTTATAAGATTTTTGTCAAATTTTTTACGTCGTATTTCACATTTTAGACCAGTAATAAAAAACTATTAAGTATTTTTAATCAATTGTAGCACAAGCACTGGAAAACATTATACATAATACACATACAAATTTTTATTGAAATATATCAACAACTTTTTTAATAATGAATTTTGAAAGTTACTATTTTTGCGTGAAATTACATTCTGAGAAAAAGGCATTTAAAGTATAAATTATATCATTTCTATTTTAAAAATGCTTCAATACTTCTAAAATTCTCCCGATTTGTATGTGATACCTTCCTTTTTCTTAATTTTACAAATTTTTTGTTTTTTTGCAACCCTATTTTTTTTCTGACAATTTTTACATTAGTTAATGAATGGCGTTGAGACTCATACACACGCTCAAAATCAAGTTCTGTAAAACCTTTTAAAGTTTTATTGCCACGGCTGACTCCAACTATGTCGAGTATGCTTTTCAGTCCCAGAAAACCTTTATTAAACTGAATAACAGCCAAATACACACCAAATTGTAATGTTTGCAATTCAACGAACACCTCCTTAGGGACAAATTTCCAAATAATGCCATTAAAGCTACTAATATAAATGATAAATTGAGAGGTTCATTTCTAGCAACATTAAAATAATAATTATTTAAGTCAAAGAAAGATAATTATCCCAAAATAAAGATAAATATAACTGTTTTTGTCCCACTTCCGGTTTCGGAATGCTATTTCCGGTTTCATTTTTTAATCATCGACTAATATTCTTTTAATCATAACTTTTGTTCTTATTGACGCACAGTTAAAATTTAAACTGTTTTGAAAACTAGAATAAACGGAGATTCGTAATATAAAATTAAAAAAAATTGTCATTTTAGGCTAAAATTCACTTTTTCAACGTGTACGGATACCTTAAGTTATCAATAGTGCTTCGCCCTCTGCACAAGCCACTTTGATATTGAGTAAGGCAGTGTCGGGTTTCAAGGAAATAGATTAAACGTCGATTGACCATTTTTTCGAACATCTTACAAAGGCAAATTGTTAATGCGATAGGCCTATAACTTGAGGTCTCTTTGGGATTTTTTCCAGGCTTGAGAATGGGAATCACAAACGCTATCGACCAGTTTTGGGGGGAAATTCTCTCTGTCCATATGCAATTATATACTAATTGCAGAAGCTGGTTTAAAGCTGTATTCGGTAGATTCTGTAGCATAGAGTAGTGAATTCCATCGGGACCAGGCGTTGTTGAATGGGTGTTTTTTAAAACATATTGCATTTCATTAAATGTGAAAGGTTTATCATAATCACTGTTTGAGTTCTTGGGCATTAATTTAATTTTTTCACTATTTCTTTTTGTTGTGGCGAATGGTTCTTGATAACTAGATGCGCTAGAGACCATAGCAAAAGCATCGCGAGAGCATTTGCAATATCTGGAATGTGCGAGATATTACTTTTGAGGATTGGGATATTATGCTGAGTGTATTTACGGGATACTGCTTTTTTTATTCCAGATAATGTTGGAGGGCGTATTATATGTTACGGAATTAACGTATTTTTTCCAGGATATATTTTGGGCGTTACGTCGGACTCTACGAGCTACGGAGCGAGCTTTTTTAAATACAATGAGGTTATCAATAGTAGGGTGTCTGCGGAAAACTTGCCACTGTCGTTTTTGTACCTTTTGTGCTTGTTGACAATCATCATTCCACCACGGTTTTGGATGCTTCGGCAATTTATGTGATGACATTTTTATTCTTTGTTTAGCTGCTTCAAGTAATGTGTCTGTGAAATATTCAACTGCATTATTAATACTAGCTTGATTTATCAAATCTTCATCGACTTGTATGTATGATGTAAATTTAGTCCAATTTGTGATGTTAATCTTAAGTCGAGCAGTTCTGGGAATTTGGTAATTATTGAAGGCGGTATGAGTAAGTATTAACGGATAATGGTCACTATTGAAAAGATTGTCATACACATGAAATGACCAGTATGGAAGTTGAGATGGACTACAAATAGCTAGATCTATGGCGTGAAATGATCGTGAAGGTGCGTGGAAATGAGTGTTTTCCTCTGTATTCATAATGCATAAACGATGATCGTCAACAAATTTCTCAATTATGAGTCCTCTACTATTGGAATCAGAGCTTCCCCAAATAGGGCTATGGCCGTTAAAATCTCCCAATATTATAAAGGGTTTCGGAAGTTGAGAGATCAAGTGATCTAAATCAGCTTGAGACACGTTATCTCGAGGAGGGAGGTAAATGCAACAAACTGTAAGCAGAAATTGAATGGAAATTTGAACATCAATTGCTTGTAAATGAGTGTTAATTGTTATTGTATGGGATGGATAAACAGTGGAAGTCATGATCATGACACCACCACAAGCTTTATTATTGTCTGTATTGTCTTTTCTAATTACATTATAGCCGCGAAGTTTGTTTGATTTGGCTTTAAAAAGGTTTCTTGAATACAAATACAACATGGTGCGAATTTATTAATAATCTCAATGACGTCGGGTTTCGTAGAGTTACAGCTTCTGCAATTCCAGGATATTATTTTGGCCATTACCTTTTAATTTTAAGTTTTGTATTTTTCGGACAGAGCTTTGGTGGCGTATCCAACCCTTCATTGATTTGCATTTGTGGGTTTGGAAGTTCATCTGCAGTATTTTCATCTGTGCTCATTGCATCAGATTGGGAACATTGATGTTCTTGATGATCTTTAGATTGTTTTAGTTTGTTTTTATGAAATCTGTTTTGCCTGCTTTTTGGTATGTATTTGTGTTTGGAAACTAATGGGGACTGGGTTAGTTTCTGTTGTGGTACACTTACTAGTTTTGGAGTCAATTTCAAGTATTTTTGTTTTTCTGAAGTGCTTTGTGAAGGTGTTATAGATTTTTCAATATTTTGTGTTTGTCGATGAGATTGGGAAGATATTGTTTTTGATTTGCTAGCTGTTTGTCTTGGTGATAGAGTTTTAAGTTTTTCATTATGTGGCTCTGTTTCATTAATATCATATTGGATGCCGATAGATTTTGTACTTTTTGTGTTAGAAACTGCCGCAGCATATGAAATATTTTGTCGGGGCTGGGAATTCAGGAATTTAGCTTTAGATTCAGTATAGGATAAATTTTGCAATACCTTTATGTTTAGAATTTGTTTTTCTTGTTTCCATTTCAGACACTGACGAGAATTAGCAGAGTGTGGTTCGTTACAGTTTAAGCATTTCTCAGGGAGTGTACAGGTTTTAAATGTATGATTAGGTTGATTGCAACGCGAACATGTTTCTTTACCTCTGCAGTTGTTGGTTGAGTGACCGAATTTCTGGCACTTGAAGCAGCGCAATGGATTTGGTATATATGGTCGCACTTTGCAATTGATATAGCCCACTTTAATGTCGGTAGGTAGAGTGGCTGAGTTAAATGTCAAGATTAAGTTTTGAGTAGTTATAATGTCATTGCCTTTTTTAATAGTTATATGCGAGCATCGATTACATCTTGATTAGAGTGTCCTTGAACGATATCAGTAACAGAGAGGTCTTAAAGAGATTTAACAGTGATAACACCCTTGGATATGTTTAGAGATTTATGAGGAGTTACAATGATAGGAATATTGTCTATTTTATTTGATTTCAGAAGAGACATAGTTTGCTTATTAGAAACTGTTTCGACTAGTAAATCGCCAGATGGCATTTGACGCACATTTTTCGGATTTCCTATTTGTGATTCCAGAAATTTTTGTACTATAAATGGGGACATGGTGGAGAGTTTCTTTTCTGGTGAGCTAAGTATTAAGAATCTAGATTTTGCAGCATCAAAGTTTGGACATTTGGAAAGATCAAATCTAGGTGGATATTTGTTGAGACTGGGTGAAACACCTGTTGAAACCATGGCAATAGATAATTTTCGTCTGAACACTCTCACGCCCACCACCGAGCCCAACACCGGCTCTGAACACCTCAGCCTCGGTGCTCTGCCCAGAGTAGTGTCAGATATAGTAGTGTCACCTTCAAAAATAAACATCATCTTGACCTAGTGTTTTAATTTTTAAATTAAGAAATTCAGTTAGGATTTTTATTTATATTAAACACATTTTTCCATTTGTCTTGATGATACTCCACATCGAAATCTCTTTGACTAGCTTAAAGACATAGGGTAAATTTAATATCGATCACAAATTTAATATAGTGTCTACTTTGTTACCTATGTTAGGAGCGGTATAGGCTTTTCGGCTCTTGCGCCAAAAACTTATAATTACTAACTACAATACACGAAGAGATCGGGTAGTTGTAAAGAGCTCAATATTGTGTGATACATCAATGTAATTAATCTAATTTTTCTTTTATTTTGCTTTTAAAAACTCAATTTTGATGTTATTTAAGAATTGCATTACATCATTAAATCATTCCTTTTTTTTTCAGTTGGACTCAATCTTGGATATGGATTTTGCCTCCTATTTGAAAAAGAACGGATTTTTAAAGCGTCTATTTCTATGAAAACTATTGTGTGTTTCTTCAAACCTGAAACTGTTGAGGTTTGCCATTTAATATTTTTAATACTAACTTAAGATTTTAAAGTAATTTATATATCGATTCTAGAGTTAAAGACAAATAAAAACGCAACGAACTTCGTTGTGTGTGGCATTAAAGCCCACCTTCAACTCAATTCCATAAATTTGTACAAGATCTGTTTAAGTGTAACTAGTTCTATTTAAAATATTGCTATGCGCATTGCGATTGAGAGATTTTATCTCTGATATCCTGGTTCACACCTTTCCAGTCGAGGTGGGTGGCTAAAATTATTTGATTTCAAGCGTAGGGAGAAAAGTACTAAGTATTCCTGTTAAAAGCGATGATTTCACAACATTTATTACTCACGTAGTTATTAATAGTTGCCGTTATTATTGATTATAATCGGATTAATTGGGACATGCAAAAGACAAAGATGTTTGTTTCTTTGCTCAGCTTACACTGGACCTGTATTCTCTGCATTAATAATTGAGGTATAGGATCATTTTATTTTATTTTATAACCTTGTTGAACAGCCTACCCAGTTTTGAGTTTACGATTGCCAATGTTCTACACCGTAGTTTGAATTGACCCACATTTGCGTTACATGCAGAGGAAAACCACGATTAACTCCTACAGTTAATTTGATGGCAAGGGGACTCTAACCCATCATATGCCTATCACTGAGGATATTTTACGACAGCATTGTGGTCATTGCGAGCTGGGTGCGAAATTCGTATCTACCAGCCACCACTGGAATTCAAACCAGGTTCACCTCATTGAGAGCGAGCGCCGTATTCCCTGATGCATCACGGGTCAGAATAGGATCATTCAAAAGTCCCTACACTGTTTCAAAGTTATTTGTTGCTGCTCGGCATACATTTGCCTGAAATTCCGGATGTCCGAACTGCTGTTACCCGATGTTTCCTATACCGATGTATTTCTTAACACGTTGATTGCCATGGGGTCACCGGTGACCGGCACTGAGCTTGTTCGTAGAGCCACGAGTGTCACCGGTGACCGGCGTAGCCAAGATTATCAGAAACACATAAATCAAGTAAATTTTCAATGCTTTTAATTTTTTTATATTATTATCGTTACTAAAATGGTTTGAAGAAATTAATGCAATACATACTGAGAAAATCATTTTAGCTAGATGGACAAGCCATGTAAAATTAGCGTGGCATTCAACGTGTTAAAGTATCCTACATGCGAACTGTTGCAATGATAACCATTGATTATTAATAATTGCCTAATAAGCCTGTTTTGGTAAAATTGTTGTTTAATGAAAAATTGATTTAATGAATTAAGAAAATGTTATTTTTCTTTGATCGGTAACTCAGTAAAAATAATTTAAAAAAAAAGATTGCGCTCTTATAAGCTAAAAATCGTTAATCTCAAGACCTACCGCCTAAAACAAGACAAATCAGACATTTCTTTCACCAATCTTTGAATGATTCCAGTAGAAAAAAAGCAGGTAATCTAAAATAAAATATTTATTTTAAGCTAATTAATTACAATTCTTTCTGTCACAATACCTCCTCTTGATGCTCTGAAATCTTGAATGCTGGAATCTTGAATGCTAACATGAATGCTGGTTTTTTGCTTAGTAGCGGTTTCATACCTCTTAGAAATATGGTTGGTCCTTGATTGTCGCTTTCGACCATCGTGGTTCTCTTTGTGTACCATGGCATTTTCTTGTTTTGTTTTTCATCTTTTAATTTCTTTTTTATTGACAGTGTTGCGTTTCTTTCTTTTTTTAAATTAATTTTACCCCCTGTTGTTGTGTTTTGATAATAAGCTCTTGTTTTGAGCCCTGGAAACCCCCTTTCAGGGGGTTTACATTCTTTGAGTAAATACTGGGAATCACGACCCCAGGTTGCCTTGTAATCTGTTTTCTTTTCGGTTGCTCTACTATTCCACTTTTCTTTTTCTCTTGTGGAGATTGGTATATTTGGTAGAATCCCACCAGGACTCTGGGAAGAAATCTGACTCCAACTCTGGTATATGTTCATGAGAAAGAACTACAGGTTTATGTCTTGTCACCCCATAAACAACACTCCCAGTTCAAATAAACAACTATCTTTATTAACAGTGAAGAACTTGGTAAATTTAACTAAACATTTTAACATAAATAAAATATAACGATTTTTTAACATTCAATCAGCATAGAAAAAGCTGCAAATGAGTAACCGGTAAGAACATGCCTAACTGCCAAGTAGTTACTCACGAACCGACGGAGAGAGAGAGTGAGCTGTGGAGAGGCGACCAAGTTATATCAGAATGCATCCTGTGCGCGTTTCGCCGATTTCGTACTTCACGCATATACTCCGAGGAAATCTCCACCCAGAGGTCTACGTCATACAACAATTATCGGCTGCAAGCGACGTAATCCAACGTCAGAGATTCGTAGATTCGGACTTTGCAAATCAGACCGCAACGCCACACTCTCCCCTTGGTCATGGTTACCTAATTTACTGGTGAGGGTTAAAGTGCTAAATTACCTTACCTATGAAATGCAAACCACTCAGGGGGGTTACCTTCTTTAGGTAAACACACCCGCGGTACCCTAGTGATCTATCCTCCCTTCCGTTTCCTCTGCCTTTTCTCCTACTTTCTCTTCCCCCTTGTCTTGGTTGCTGAATTTACTGGTAGGGGCTTTTTGACTGTGTTCGAATACCACCCTGTTGTATCGGACCCCGATGGGAAGAGACCGCCCATGTGTTCCCCGAGGGGGGAAACCCGTCTCCCTGGAAAAGAGGATCCTGGTAGTAGAGGGGCATCCTGGACCCCAGCACACTGCTTTAGGCTCGTTGCTTCAGGTAAACGAGAACATTTACTGGGCACCTTGTTAAGGACGGAGGCTGCTTCAGGGTGGTCAGCATCGATGTTAAACTATCAGGATCGGTGTCAGGACCAATCTACTATTTGCATAATCTTAGTTAGACTCCGTGGTGGGTGATGCCACTGGTATAGCTCGTTCACCAGGAGTTGGCACTTGGCTCCGCCTTCATCACGTAGTATGCGACGATACTATTTCGCTATTTTCGGGAGAAGATTGTGAGCAATCCTGAACAAGGTTGCTATTTGGTGATCGTATGGCAAAAATATTTATTTCGCAAACTTCATCTGCAATTTTTTAACATTAAATATTTCGTAAATTTGATGATATTTCGCTCCATTTTTTATGGTATTTCTCTCTTTCGAGTGAATAGTTTGTCCTTTTTGAGACATTTTGCTGGGAAAACAGCAGTTTTTAAATTTAAAATGTGTTTAACTATCTAGAGAAACGAAAGGTACAATAGCACATGATAAAGCGAAGTAAGTGACTGGAAAAAAATTCACTTTTGTGTTTGGCGCGCATTAAGGGTTGTCTCAATTTCAAAAGCGGAGATATTTCTCTTTTTACTCCCGCGCTGTAATGAACTCTGCGTCTGAGGAGGGGGAGCCAAGTGCCAACTTCTGGTGAACGAACTATAGCGAGAGTGGTTTTATTTTCCTATGGAAGAAAATAGCACGGTGTTGAGTTCCTGTCAGGTAACCATAGCAACCGCCCTCCTCTGCGCGCCTGCGCATTGCCCGATCCTCAGGCAGTTGAACGGGGGATACGGAGGTGAGCAGACAAAAATAAACACTCTGCTTATGTTACGATGATTTAGTTTTTGTGTCCCTTAGGAAAATTTGCCATAAAAAATGCCATAGGATATTGCCATAAAAATGCCATAAAAAATGCCAATACACTTTTGCCATACGTATATGGCAAAAGTGTATGGCAAAATTTTACCATAGGCAAAACCCCATAGGAATATCCTATGACATTTTTTTATATGGCAAATTTTTGCCATAAAACTAAGATGTGCCACAGCTTATGGCGAAATATTTTTCCATAGGCTATGGTACACCTTTGCCATACAGCTATGGCAACATTTCTCGTTGATATTTTATCATACATCAAAAAAATAGTTACTTACAAAAATCTTTCGCAATGGATATTAAAAATGCAAAACTTAATAATTGTAGAATAAATATATATCCAGAAAGCTTTTTTTTTTAAAAATTTCTTTGATAAACTTCTGTTTCACTTGCAGAATCCTTTCTGAATGCTGTTCTTATTCAAATAAATTTTAAATAGTTAGTACTAACCGTTAGAAAATGGGTCCGGCCGTCGGAGCGAGTGGGGAAAGTATTGGTTATGTTGAATAGGAACAAAATATATTGAGTACAGGCAACCAATATTTGTTAAAACTGTAAAAAACAAGAAAATAGAAAGTGAGTCTGGAGGTCGGAGCGAGTATAAAAAACGTTAATTTGATTGATTGGTATCATAATTAGTTAGATAAGCGTCAGATATTAGAGGAACCTAAAAGAAAGCAAATTTAAATAATGGTCCGATGGTCGGAGCGAGTATGAAATTTTTTTAAATTTTGATATGTGATACTAAGCTAAAAATTAAACAGACTACTAAAACAATAAAATACTATGAAAACTCAAAAGATAAAGAGTGGGGCCGGTGGTCGAAGCGAAATTAGTTTAAAATAGACCAAACGGGACAAAAGCCGAATATGTAGCGGTGCTACCAGTGGTGGCATGTGAACAAAATTTTAGCTATAAAAAAGATGGTATTAGACTATGAAAAGCTAAGAATAGAAAACAGGCTAAATTAGTTGATCCCCCTACTAGTGAGGGATATAAAACTCAGAAAATTTATGTTGAGTTGTGTTAAGCACAGTTAGAAAAGAGAACGCAGAATAGAAACATTGGTAAATACAAAACATGTTTAAGACATTATTAAAATTGGTAAAATTAGTAATTGCTATTGACAAATTGACACTTGGTCAGGGATAGTAATTGGGTATAGGGCATCGCTATGACGAAAAAGTTGTAAACTTAAGGAACGATTAAATTGTTAAAAGCATTTTTGGTAACAGCAGCAGATGATATGGCCAGGGACTGTCCCGTTGATAATATTGAAGCAAAATAGTTTTCAACCAGTAATCCAGCAAATCTAGTTAAGTGATGACCCTAAGCTATGTATGAATATGTAACAGAACATTGTACAAATATATGTGGATAGTTAAGAAATATTAATTGTAAGATAGTAAAACACAGAGACATAATAAAAACAATTTAATGGCAAGCAAAAATTAAACACAAAATAAAAATATAAAGCCCTAACGTATGTAAGATAATGTAAAAAAGCATTGCAAGAACCTAAGTGGAATTAAAATCAAAAACTAATAAGAATGTAAACACTTTGATATTGATATATGACAGCAATAAAATGAAATTATCACCGAACAAGTTAAAAGAATTAAAAAATTTTAGTTATTAAAGAAATGATGATCTGGCTTGATAATAAGCACTTAACCGCGTTTTTCATCATGAAGTTAGTTTGCAAATTGCTATGGGGAATAGAGCACCATTAATAATGGAAAAGTGATGTGACTTTAAAAATTTATATAAAATCAGAGGGAGGGGATAAAATAAAAAGAAAGATGTCGTTTAATCAGAAACAGTTGGGGGAAAGAAATATAAAAAATTTAGATAAAAGTATAAACATTAATTAAAGTGTACAAAGTCAACAAATGGCAAAATTTAACATAGCGAAAACCTATACCCAATCGCGACATATTTTAAAAAGATACAGATAATAAAAGTACCAGACTGCCGGAAATTAAAAACTTAATAAATTCAGAAAAATAATCGCATAGGCGTTTGCAATAAAATGCTTTTGACCAAGAATGAGATTAAAAAAATATTAAAATAAGTCGCCAAAGTTAGCGAAAGATTCCACTTGTAGTGGATGACACGTTAACATGGCGGTCTGATACTCTAAGCCTAAAAGAATGGAGCATCGGATTTCAAACACTCAAAAATAGAAAAATTGGCCACCCACAAACCGGAAAAGACTCACCAGGAATGCGTTGCGGGATTACACCTTGAATTTAATTAACTTCGGGGTGAAATAATGGATATTTATTTCTTTTAGAAGATGTTTTTGAGGACTCCATAGAAGTTATTGTTTCGTTGGTGGAGGTCTAGATCAGCTTTTCTCTATGGTATACTGCCATACAAATCTTTAAGGTTATCATAGGCCTATGGTATACTGCCATACGAATTTCTGTGGTTGCCATAGGCCAATGGTGACGCGCCATACAAATCCTTATGGTTACCATTGGTCTATGGTATTTTGCCATACAAATCTTTATGATAGCCATAGGCTTTTGGGGTTTCGCCATACAAATCTCTATGGTAACCATAGGCGTATGGTATCTTGCCATACAAATTTCTATGGTTGCCATAGATGAATTTCTAGGTTACCATAGGCTCTCAATGGCAAATTTTCCTAAGGGGTACGTATTTTATCTTGTTTTATTCTTAATAAATAATTTTTATTTTATATTCGGCATCATTTCTTCCTATTAATTTAAAAAGAACCCTAAAGTTCCGTACACCAAAGCAAAAACAGAGGAACAACCCCTACACCGTTTGATTACCTTCCATAGTACATAATTAAACTGGCGACTTCTGAATGCCAAATACTTCATTTTCAAAAATCCCTCTTATTTTGATTCACAAGGAAAACGGAAAGTCATTTAAATACAAAGATTTTGCCACTCTAAAACATCCTGTTAAGGTTCATTTGTCTTCTCGTTGTTCTGGTACTGGCCATGATGACAACTCCTGCAGACCACCCTATGCATGAACTGAAAGGGTGCTCATGCTGCTTATTCCTGGAATTGTCCAAAAGAATTAAAAGTAAAGAAGACTTTTTTTTAATGTTAAAATTTAAGAAAATCATTAATATTTTATATTTGTACTGTTTTATTGTATTGACAACGTTGCTTTTTCCCCCCACAGGCTGTATTAAGTAGTAATGCTACTCTTGAGAAAGCCAATGAATATGCCCTTCTGCAACCATGGCTTGGAACTGGTCTTCTTACCAGGTACTGGTCTTCTTACTTGTTTAATAATGATATTTTAAGCATATTTCGTAGTTTTAGTTTTCATTACCTCTTAATGAAGAGGGTTTTCTAGATTATTTTCCTGCATGTATGGGAATGTTAGAATAACTCTTAAAAAAATTGGATGATTACAATAAAAAATCTATTATAATTTTTTTACAAGCTGTTAATTTCATCTTATTTTATTATTATTCTCTTATATTATTATTTTATGATTAATTTATTTTTATTAGAAAAACTGTTTTATGGAAATTGAATTGAATGTAGGGTTTAATGGCACAAAGTCCACAGAAGGACATGCTGCGCCAAACAAAAGGTTTTATAACAAATCTTAGGTAAATGTATATTACAATTTTTTTTATTAAAAATCACTCGGAATTTATAAAACTGAATATAACGAAACAGACGTATTCAAAAGTGAGTAAAACGAGATAAAATGTATAGATAGTCATAAAACAGTCATCATAAAACAGTTGCACTCAAAGTTGAATAAAATCACATAAAACTGTAAATAGGATAAAACAGTTTTATGCAGTATAAAAGACCAATTGCGCGTAGAAACGCCAAAATGTTAGGATGATGGGAGTCACCTAACAAATCCGGCAGAGTTAAAATAGAACTACCGAAAAGGGTAAGACGATGACGGTTAAAACATGGGTAAATGATTGAAATATGATAAACAATGAGTAAAACGTTGCAAGTATTGCAATGAGGAGGAGGTTCACCAAACAGCAAGTGAAGATGGGTCAAACAAGTGTAGCCGATTCGGAGACGAGTAAGTTTGACGTCTGCCCTACGATTACGTAACACACGCAATAGATCCAAATAAATTTTATAGTGTGCAATTTATTATTGATTTGGAGATCCCATTGTTGCAGCCATAGAAACTTTATTAGCTGTCGTACGTGTGTTTCTATATCTGAGTATGGTATAGACAGAGAGAAAGGGTTTGTAGCAGATCGTGCAGCAACATCGGCCAAGTCATTGCCTGGAATTCCGGCATGACTTGGGACCCAACAAAATAAAATATCAAACCCAATTTTATGAAAATAATTTAACAAATAATGTATAAAATTTAAAATTGGGTGAGTCAATTCTTCAAAATGTCCTAATTTGCGCAACTTGTTTGATGGAACAGTATTTACTTTATGAAAATGAATTTTCATAATACAGTAGTTTAGCATTTGCTCTGTTTTAATTTTTTTTTCATGGTGCAGCATATTCTTTATATTTTCTTCTTTTGGCTATCTTCTGAAATGTGACAATTTCGATCCGAACCAAGACTGTTAACAAGAGGAAAGTTGAGTTTTTGCCCCCTCATCCCGTATACCAGTGATGGGTGAGAGGGCAGCTGCCATTCTGTCATAATATATAACTTTTTTCAATGAATTCAATTCCAGAAAGGTAAGCATAAAAAAAAAATTGTCAATTTGAGATAGGACACATTGAACATGGATCTCATGATGCAACAAAACCTGCTTTATCTTAGGTGTATTTGAAGTATTAGTTTGTCGCCTAGAAAATATTGCGCAAAAAAATCCAAATTTATTCGATTTTTAGTACCATTATTAAGGATCATATAAGTACTTTGTCATTCATCATTTGTAGAATGCCATCATCATTTCTAGAATAATCCCTAATGGCTTCTTTTGCATTCAAATCTCCCAAAATTATTGTGTTTTAATTTATGAATCTAGAGGTAGCTGTTATTATGATAAACATTAAAAATTATGATAAACATTCAATTCTTTATTAATTTTAATTCCTGTACAGCAATCATGTGGACATCTCTAACCTCTGTAATATCAATTGATTGATCGTTTTCAGCTCTGATTGCCATTTTGGCGAAACTTTTTCTGTTACACTCTAAAATCTTTTCAGGTTTTCGACCCTTGCATGACCAACGGGCTCGTTACGTTAAAATGAGCCAAATATACCCACTATTAGTCTGAGCATGTTACCTCAGTTAACAAAGATTTAATGTTAAATCTATAGGGATAAAAAGTATTACATTAACAATGTTTTAATATTTATCCTATGTGAAAATAAAAAAAAGCATATTTTTTTTATTCCTTCAAATCGCGGGTTATGTTCACATTTACCATCATGTTATTTTTATATAGCTATAAGTGTCGTTCTTTGAAATCAATCAACACAATAACTGCTAGATTTTCCCCTGAGGGGGTTTACCTTCTTTAGGTAAATACAGGGAGTCACGCCCCGGGGTACCCTAGTGATCTGTCCTCCCTTCCGTTTCTTCTCCCTTTTCTCCTACTTTCTCCTTTCTCTTCCCCCTTGTCGTGGTTGCCGAATTCACTGGTAAGGGCTTTTTGTCTGTGTTCGATTACCACCCTGTTGTATCGAACCCAGATGGGAAGAGACCACCCGCGTGTTTGCCGTGCGTGGAGACCCGTGTCCCTGGAAAACGGGATCCTGGCAGTTGAGGGGCATCCTGGTACCCCAATACACTGCTTTGGCCCGTGCTTCAGGTAAACGGGAGGTGCATATTGGCCTGTATGCGTCAACCGGCTAGCCACGAACGTCACCTGTTGGCTAGGGTCAAGTCCGGAGTCACTTACTGGGCACCTCGTTAAGGGTGGAGGCTGCTTCAGGGGTGACTCGCGGACGTATAGCTATTGGTTAGCATCGGTGTCAAGTTACTCATTTTTGTTACTTGCATCCCCCATGTAGGACTCCGTGGTGGGTGATGCCGCTGATAGTGGAAGTATTTTGAAATTTTCTATGGCTGAAAATAGAGGCAAGGTGTTTAGTTCTGCACACCATAGCAAAAACAGCGGAACAACCCCTTTACCGTTAGAACACGCTCGATATTTCATAATAAGTTTGACAAATCCAACTGTTCCAAACACTTCGTTTGCGAAAGTCTCGCCATTTTTAATCCACAAGGCTCTTCTGTCAGTATTGGGAGAAGTAGCTTCTGTGAAAAAATTGCGTTCGGGTGACCTTTTAGTTGAGGTCTCCGAAAAACAAGCTGCTATATTATCCACATGCGAGAAAATCTGCTCATTTACAGTAACTGTCTCCCCTCATAAAACTCTCAACACTTCACGAGGTGTAATATCACAATCAGAATTCCTCGATGATGAAGAGGAAACTATCGCTGAAGAATTAAAAGAACAACATGTAACTGCTGTCCGTAGAATTAAGATACGTAGGGATGGTAAACTTATCCCAACGAAACATCTGATTCTTACTTTTGACACGCCGAAACTACCATCTTCGGTTAAGCTTGCCTGGCATAACTGCCCCATACGACCATATGTGCCAAACCCATTAAGGTGCTTTCAGTGCCAAAGGTTTGGCCATTCTAAAACATCTTGTCGTAGCAAGCCAATTTGTGCCCACTGCTCTGGTTTTGACCATAGTGACACTTCCTGTGAGCTGCCAGCCCTTTGCAGTAACTGCAATGGCGCGCATGCAGCATACTCCAGGAACTGCCCAAAATGGTCCCAAGAGAAGGAAATACAAAGTGTAAAAGTGTTGCAAAATGTTACGTTCAGTGAAGCTCGCCGGATAGTCACCGCCCGTACTCCTCGCCCGGGTGTATCCTATTCCGCGGCTACTAAAATTTCATATAATTCAGTGAGCACTCAAACAGATAATCTAC